ACATAATCCTTGAAGTTGATACGGAATTGCTAAATTGACCACGAGTCGAACTATTTCTGATTGACCCCTCTCATGGAAGGAGTAGACTGTCAGCTCTCAAACTGATGTTCACGTAAACATCACGAGGTACTGAATGCGCCCATTTTCCTGTTCATGAATATATAGTTCGAAGTATGTCTATAGAATTCGTATGTCCCTCCGGAATTTCCGAACTCGGCAGCGCAACAACCGAGAGAGAGAGAGCAGAAAGGAGCATATCAATGGGTAGAGAATCTCTCCAAGTTTGTTTGGGTACTAGGCGCCATGGCGTACTTGCAGGTTTCACTGCTAGGAGGAAGTTAAAAGGGAAGTATGGCAGGGCTCCTCCTTGTTAAAAAATGAAGTCCTCACTGTCTTCCTGTAATTGTGGCATTAGCCACAGTTGCAGCATGTCCAGGTAGTTGATACCAGTAACAGCTGGCTCCGCAAAGAAAAATTGCCTCTGCCGATCGTCCTGGCCAGCCTTTTCGTTTCGCAGCGCACAGGCAGCCACTCTGCTGGAATTTCTTGTACCACTCGCCAATTGTTTTGCCCGTAGGTGGCTCTGTATGATACTTGGTCCGAAACCTCCGTTACACTGTCACAATTGACTCAGTTTTGGCAAAATCCGAATAACAGAACGCTTTCTTATGCCCTGTCCTCGCCATGTTTCTCACGACTGCCCCTAGCCGTGAAACCTGCAAGTACGCCATGGCGCCTGTTACCTAAACAAACTTGGAGAGATTCATTCATTATTAGAGGGGGTTGGTTTCCCCATGCACCGCTACCAGCTGTTGATCTATTGTACGTCCCCCTTTGATATTCTACCAGTCGCCATACCCTTCCGATACTGGTGCTTGCTATCAGCCCCGTTCAGCCAGCGAGTTCGGCCTCTCTACTGGCAGAGGTACCCGATACTTCCCCCATCTACCGGCGGCATTGGAAACTACTTGGGCGGGAAACTTTCTACCTCATTTTGCTCAGAGGTCTCATAGAGACATGAGGATCTTTTACGTGCCGTAAATCTACGACACGGGACCCCACGGCTTAAAGTCCCTCCCGGAGGACTTGTTCCCTGAATTTTTCCGCCCACGACCTCCGCCGGGTTTGAACCCGCGTACCTTGAGTCATGAGGTGGGAACGTTACCCCTAGACTACGGAGGCCGCTTAACTTGGAGAGATACTGTACCTACTGATATGCTCCTTTCTGCTGCGTTTGTCTTGGGTGCTGCACTACCGAGTTCGGAAGTTCTGGCGGGACTTATGAATTACCCTGTATATATAATCAGAAGTGTCATGGTGGATATCCGTAGCAGTCGCCAGCGTTTAGTGTGTCAGGATGTATTGTGCCAAACTTAAGAGTGCGTCTTCATGTCGTGGCATCTCAGGCATCTTATATGAAATAATGGATTTTTTACATTTATAAAGAACTATTTTTATATGTATAAAGATGAGAAAGTCGCGAGGAACATAAGAAGGAAGAGGACCATAGGTAGATGAGTCCGGAGTGTTCCAGAACTGTCTGGTGAGACAGCGAGGTAATAAGTGGATTTACCTGCCGAGCAGTAGCATTTGTTGCAAGCCGCCAGCAGGTTGACTGCTTGGTTTGTATGCCAGCTTGCTGTATATGACTACTCAGAAAACTATTTCTACCGTGCTCATGTGACCATAGTATCCACACTCGATTCAGCAGAGGGAAGCTATCATTCTGCTGTGCGTCACATAGTCACGAGTTCTGAACTTCGTGTCGGCCGAACATGGTCCAATGCAGTTTCGAGTGTAGACTACAAAAAGCTATTCCACACAGGGCAAACCCACCATTAGGTAGGTCTGTCAATAGACTGTTCTGAGACAAGTCACTTCGTATTGTTATAGTGAACTCAAAGGAGGTTAGGATGGATTGGCTACGTAGCACGAATGAGATGCACCAAATGAACGCACTACTCGTATTTTCACAGGGAAACTATTGGGAAGGCTGTTACATACTTGGAAGACATGTAGTTTAACGTTGAGATGAATCCTAGAGAAATAGGTTATGGCTATGGGATTGAAGTGGCACAGGATCGTGTTCATTCGTAGGCTTTTGTATTAGCGGTGCTAAATTTTCAAATTCTCTTACCGGAAGTTTAATCAACTCCTTCCAGCGTGACTGATAAAATGTTTTTTTCTTTCCTTTTTAATCTTTCGTCCTTGACATGTTTCGGCCTTAGAGACCGTCTTCAGAAGGATATATCAACACAGGCAGAAACTACTATTACAATGTGTTTGGTAAATACCAACACATACAATATCATCACAATGCCATGAATATAAAATATGATATTTTAACAACTACAGCGACGTTCATGAATACATTAAAGTACTTATAAATTATTAAAATTAGTTTGCAAGTGTGGTTTAAAAAGTTTTTTTTTTAATTATTAGAACCAATTTGCTTTGTGTCCTTTGTATTGTCTCTTTAACGGAAGTTGAGTGTTTACCACCTCGTGGTTCCTTCGTTTGATGAGTAGGACTGTTTAGTGTCGTCCTGTTGTTGGAGCCGCGCTGTGTTGTTGATTGACCTTTTGTAATATTCGAAGTGTGACGGACCAGGATGAGCCGAATCACACTCTTAACAGAATTGTTTTTTTTTTTTTTTTGTGTAGTTGACGTAATATTGTGTCCAGCTCCCCTGACTCTAGTTTCTGTTACCTTCAGAGATTCCGTTGGTTCGAATGAAACTTATTTATTCCTAGACGCTGTATTGGCCTTAGGACCTACCGTCACAGTTGAATAGGTAGTTATTGGAGAGGGTGGGTTTCCCCATGCACTTAGACCAGTATTGGTCCATTGTACTTCCCTCTATGATATTCTACCAGTCTCTATACCCTACCGATATTGGTGCGTACCATCAGTCCCGACCGAGCCAGCGAGTTCGGCCTCTACCGGCTTAGCGGTATCTATAATGCTTCCCCCATCTATCAGAGGTGTTAGAGACTACTGTTGGGCGGGAAATGTCCTTGAATTTGGCTTAGTGACCTCCTTTGGAGATATGAGGTTCTTTTACGTGCCGTAAAGCTACGACACGGGACCCACGGCTTAAAGTCCCTCCCGGAGGACTTGTTCCCTGAATTTTTCCGCCCTTAAAAATTCCACGACCTCCGCCGGGTTTGAACCCGCGTACCACGAGTCATGAGGTGGGAACGTTACCTCTAGACTAGGGAGGCCGCTTACAGTTGAATAGTTACAAGTCCTCTTTAGTTTTTGGGATGTCCCAGTTGTTTACGTTATACGCTGACTAAGTTTTTCGTGTCGTTCCTCAGTCCTCCTAGGCAAATGATAGGATAGTACGTCGAAATAGGCCACAACTACTCCAATTCTCAGTCCGTAGTTCACACGCATCCATCCATTTGATGCTATATTATAGACGTAATACGAATACTGTGGTTGATAAAGTTAAGGAAATCGAGAAACTGCCGGTCACGGTAGCCGAGAGGTCTAAGACATGTACTGTCTTCGCTCGCTTGGAAACCGGGATCGTGGGTTCGAATCCCATTCAGGGCATGGATGTATAGTTTGTGTGTGTGCGTTTTTCTGTGTTTGTGTACAGGTAGAGGCCTTGCGACGAGCTGATCACCCGCCAAAGGAGTCCTACCGAATGTGTAAGATTAGAAAAACCGAAGTGAACGGAGAAGTTCATGGAGGTAGGCCTAGGCCCACTGGGGCTGTAGTGCCAAGGAAAAAAATCGAGAAACATGTCGGCTACGGACTCAAAGCTTCTGATGAGATGAATTGGAAGACGGAGTGGGAGTTGTTGTCATCTGCTTCAGTGTAGACCTGTCTGGGTAAAGGCCTGGGGAAGTAGTGAGGAAAATCTCAGGACTTCCAGTGTCTGTAGCAAGATTTGAAGCGAGTAACTTCCCAGTACAGGTTGGATTCATTACCATTTAATTTACTTGCTCTATCCGAATGAAGGAAGGTAAGGTAGTCATGAATAGGATATCCGAAAAAGTGTTCGTGGCCCATTTTAAGACAGTTCAATTTTTCTTCAAGAATATGTGAAACCACAAGAATTTGAATCAGGCGTTAAAAAGTATGAAGTAAATGGGATATATGAATTAGAGCTATATCTGGTAGTTTATTTCGAAATATGTAGCTTCATGGACGTAGAACTGTAATTTAGTCTTCGATCTGAAATAAAGTCTTTTCTAACTCAGTTTCACGACACGTAATTAACATACACCTGTATATGACTTGAGGTTCTCACAGCGGTGGTTATGAAGAGCTTTGTCTTCTGGGATATAACGCCCAAGCAGTCAGTTGGAAGGTCCGCTGACATTTCGGAGGAACGTGTGACCTCCATCTTCATGGTAGAAAAATAAACCAATTAAGAAATTAGTATGAGGCGGGTAGCAACGCTGGTTTCCTGATTGTCTTATCCTTCGACTTTGAAGATGAAGGCGACTTAGACTCCTGAACGTCGGATGACTTCCAACGGACTACACGGCGTTATATTGCAGAAGATAGAACACTTCAGCATACATGGATTTTCTGATTATGGTGGTCATAACAAAAAAGAACTCCGTGGCCTGTAGTCCGCAAGCGAACTATATCAACCGAACGAGCCCCGCGTGTAGGCGAAGTTAGTGCCAACTTTTGCGGATAGAGGGTGTCACGTGGTCAGAGCAACGGATCCCCACGGCCGTTAATCTCGGTTTTCTAGACCGAAGCCGCTACTTCCTTGAAGTAGCTCCTCAATTATCCTCACGAGGCTGAATGGACCCCGTTCCACACTCACTACTCAGAAAATTTGGTAGTGCCGGTAATCGAACCCGGGACATCTGGATCTGTAGGTAGGAACTCTGACCATTAGACCACAGAGTCGGTCCTAACCGTAGATAGTACCAACAGTAAAATATTCTAGTAATGTGAAATTACTTTTTTCAATATCATAGGTTAAACAGTTCCGTCCAGTGTGACTAGTAAAGATTTTTTTATTTCAGTGACTTGGACATCGATATTGAAGACAATGGAGACGGAACGTTCAGCATCTACTACACGGTGAAGGATGCAGGTGACTATACCCTGAGTGTGAAATTTGGTGGCCAACCGGTACCAGATGGCTTCTATACTTTCACGGTAAGTGCAATGAAAGTACGCTACTAAGCTCTTTGGTATTTTCCACACACGGATGCTCGTCAGTTTGTAAGAAGTTAAGTATTTCCACGCTCGGTCGGTAGAACTTCATGGGTAGCGTAAACACAATTTTTGACAAATCTTAAAAATATTGAATTTGCTGATTTCCCGTTTCGAATATGGGGGTAGCATGTTGTTAAGATATGTTGCAAACATTTTCCGTTGCTACAGGGCGTCAAGATGCAGATTTAGGAACTCAAAAAATGTATATAAATCGTCGCGAAAACCCAAAATCTGGAATGAAAGATGTATTTTTTTTTTGTTCGCTCTATAACCAGTCAGACAATTTTGACTGGAAAATGTTAGTGCTTATCATTCTCTTTTCAGCTTTTATATGTTTATTTTGACTTTACGTCGATCGTGGATTTTTTTTCTGCTTAGCTGTCACCGTTTATGCTTTCTTTTCTGTTATGAGAACAATACATCAATTACAAACTGGAAGTCGCACCTTCTCAAAACATCGGTGGCGCTGTCAGCAGTCTCTGGGAGCCACCCCCAGATCTAGACAAGGGCCGAACGGATCTTTAGGCTGATTTGAGTTTTGTGTTGATTCAGTAACGAATCGTCGAGTCACTAGTAAGGGGAAAGATTCTAGAGAGAAGGAAGTAGTCGTTTCGTTTTACTTGAAGACGAGGATCCTACTTCCGAAACGTCTTACTTCATTGTTATTCGAACAGTGGAACAATGTCCTACATAATTACTGTCAAGAGAAAAATTACGGCCTCTGAGATTCGACACTTTCATGTGATGTAATGTGCATCAGTAAATGACCGACGTTTCAGAAGCACTGTACTACTTCAATCTCGGCCAGACTAGCAGTGCCAGAATGATATCATTACTTTATGTCGTTATGACCCCTGTAATCACTGGACAGATCCTAATGTTCAAGGACAAAGGAGACCGGTAATTAGGGATATGAACTGAGCGATATTTCATATCTTGTAACTTAATTGGTTACAAGTGAAATTAGACAAGTATTCCATAATTAAACGGGGAAAGTAATTTTATTTTTAGAGCATGTACAAAAATGAACAAGAGTCGACATGTAGATGCTTCCGGTGGCCTTTGATGTTTTATATTCTTAAATGGAGTTTATGAAGCTTCTCAGAAATGCTTCATGTTTAAAGCAAGGTTACAGGTTGTTTGTCTCATTAGTATGTGTGTAGTTTATACGTAAAAGTAAAGGTATCCCTGTAACAGGCCATGGAGGCCCATAGGGTTGTGAGAGGTTGAGGCTCCCACATCGAGACAATCGGCTCACAGATGGCGGTGAGTTTGTCATCCTTACGTGCCGGCCTCCCTTTAGCCCCAGGAATATTCCTGGTACTCATTTCTGTTATAGGCTGAATCGACCCCAGGACCATAATTCGGCTGAAAGGATTAGGTCAATTGAAAGAAATCCACCTCATCGGGATTCGATACCACGACCTTCCGCCTTGTAGTATAGCGCATCAACCAACTACGCTACCGCGTGCCCACAGTTTATACGTACATAACGAAATATTAAAGAGGTCGTTAATGTCTGCGCGTAAAACGGGAGTTCCGATTGATACATTTGAACCGAATTAAGCCAATGAAGATATTGTTAAGCGTGTCATAAAGCCAATCTGATTTACGTTCATTAAGTGATGTGGGAGCCGGTCACGGTAGCCGAGCGGTCTAAGGCATGTACTGTCTTCGCTCGCTCGGAAGCCGGGATCTTGGGTTCGAATCCCACTCAGGGCATGGATGTTTGTGTGCGTTTTTCTGTGTTTGTCTACAGGTAGAGGCTTTGCGACGAGCTGATCACTCGCCCAAGGAGTCCTACCGTATGTGTAAGATCGAGAAAAACCCAAGTGAACGGAGTTCATGGAGGTAGGCCTAGGCCCACTGGGGCTGTAGTGCCAAGGGGAAAAAAAAAGTGATGAGGGAGAATAACTTGGGGACGGGTGGATTGATGGGTAAGACGAGGGTGTGCAGTGTGCCTCTGTAATACGTTCTACTTTTTACGTTAAGCATAAGAAGGAAGTAACCAACAGAATGTTCAGTGAAGTATTCTAAGTAGTCTGACATTTTTTATACGGCACATTCCTTTGTGAGTAATGTTAAAAGGACACGTTAATTCTCTTGGTTTTTCTGAGGCCGCTTTTTTCGCCTGGATTGGTTAGACATTGCTGAATCATAAATGCGATTCTTATTGTTGATTGGAAATTAAGAGGAGATTGAACTCGGGTAATGATTGCTACCATTCAGTCCAGAACCTTTTGTCTTCTCGTCTCCTGTCCCAAAACTATAATTTTGCCTATGGTTCTGTATGGGTGTGAAACTTGGTCTCTGACATTAAGGGAGGAACATAGACTGAAGGTGTTTGAGAACAAGGTGTTGAAGAGAATATTGGGATCAAAGAGAGATGAAGTGACAGGAGGTTGGAGAAAACTGCATAATGAGGAGCTTCATAACTTGTACTCTTCTCCAAGCATAATTAGAATGATGATATCAGGGAGGATGAGATGGGCAGGACATGTAGCATGAATTGGGGAGACGAGAAATGCATATAGGATATTAGTGGGAAAGGCAGAATGAAAGAGACCACTGGGAAGACCAAGGCGTAGGTGGGCGGACAATATTAAAATGGATCTTAGAGAGATAGGAAGGGATGGTATGGATTGGATTGATCTGGTTCAGGATAGGGACCAGTGGAGGGCTCTTGTGAACACGGTAATGAACCGTTGTGTTCCATAAAATGCTGGGAAATTCTGAGTAGCTGCATAATTGGCGGCTCCTCCAGAATGGCTCAGCTCCATGAGTAAGTATCGTTGATTAGTGAGAGGATTTGGAAGGAAATGATCTCAAAATTTATGTGGTGACGAAGCGGTTAGGACTCCGTTTTGCATTCTAGTTTGGTCCATCTTGAATTCATAACTTTGCCACAAAGTTCAGTAAAACAACTTGGTGAGATTACATGAAATTAAATGTGAAAAGAGAAGAGAAGCGTCTGCTTCAGTGTAGAACCTTAGAACTCCGCCTTGATTGCCAAGAAAAGTTTAATTTTATGGGCACAGTCGACTTTGCGCATGTTTCATACCGTCACCCAGATAAATTACACAGAGTGCATAACGCATAATATGTAAATATTGGATCGTATGCACTTCGCCTAATTTCATGAAGTTGCGTAAATTGATATTTGGAACGGAAGACGGGTACATAAATACCAAGAAACTTGTTACACTCGCTCACAATCTGACCACGTGTGTCCTTCATTCACGTGTTAACGGGTGGAGGGGACGCTGCCGAACCAGGGGTGGCCGTCTGATCACGACGCCACGCCCTGTACGCGTCCCTGCCAGATTCTTTGCGCATATAAGGAGGGGGCTGTAGACGTACTCTCTCACACCCTCTTTCTGTTCCCCCTTTTATTCTTTTGTTGTGTACCGACAAAATTAAGTCTGGAGTCGGATTGATTGTTGAGTAAGTAGTTTGTACGTAGTTGATGTTGGATCCGCGGAGGAAGAAGACAGTGCGTGGTGACCGGCAAGAGGATTAGATCTGATTGTCGTCAAGTAGCGCTGAAGTAAGTAAAAATGGGTGGACAGATTTCGGGTGTCGCATATAAATTGCACTTCCCCTACTCTGCAACACCTTGCTACCGCCCCCCCTCCTGTCAGCATGCTCACTTTAATGAATTAATTCATGAGCTCTGTTACAAATTCCTGGACCATACAACCGACATATATTTGATTATTTCAGTTTGTACAATAAAACGCCCCATGCGTTTGTTCCAAGGCCCCAAGTGTTTGTCTTTTGTTTTAGTTGATATTTCTTGTGTATTGATGATACAGGATTTGATGATCAGTTTTCATTTGATGAGACAGAAAAATCTCTATTGAGCCGATTCGGATATTAGAGCTAGGATGGGCTTTCCGAGCATTTAAGCTAACACGTAACGCCTCTCGTTAAACTTCGTCAGCACTGAAGATGTAGGTGATGTGTTCCTCCGAAACGTCAGCCTTTCTCCGAGCTCCACGACGTTAAAACTCCCAAGACCGCATTCTTTATAGTCAACCGCCGGGAGAACACGATCGTATTAATTTAATGTAGGGCGTCCGGATTTGTTGTATACGGCGTCAAGACCAGAGAGTGATCGTGAATGGTGGATATATACGGCGTCAAGACCAGAGAGTGATCGTGAATAGTGGATATATACGGCGTCAAGACCAGAGAGTGATCGTGAATAGCGGATACGGATTTCAAAGGAAGCTTTCTGTGCCTTTTTAAACTTCTCTGCCATTCGTCCTGGATCTAGGAAAACCACGAATCACATTAGGAGTAGCCAGTGACACAGCCGAGGTTCGAACCGGGCGCTTCCCGAATAGAAATTAACTCTGCACCAACCTGCTAGTGTTGAAGTCTCGAATCCGTTGTGTAGAAAGCTATATTCACAGAAACATGCTTATAATTTGCAAATCTGTTTTGTATCCGTGTGTTCTATCTGGAGATGATGCGTAAGTGGTGTTTCCTCCATTACCTGTTATCCGTGACTTTGTATTTCTGCTTATACGTTACATTGTTGGACTGGGGTTTCGGACGGTATTGCCGATTGTTGTGTAAACCTCCCTCCCCTTTGTATCTGAAGTGTGAGAAATTAAACTGGGAACAAGGACGCCACGGGCGATGTTACATAAACAAACAACACTTCACCAAGCTCTCAGTGATTGACGGGAGGTAAACGGAAATTGAAATATGATCCGCACAGTCGGCAAGGAGTCTGACGAGTCTGGCAACGTAACGAACATGTTTTGCCAAATTGAGGCTAGTAGCTAGCCCATGGCTGTGCAGAAGCAGATGCAAATAACGTCCTTCTGAACAACTGCATCTCTTTCACTTTTTTCTTTTCCTATTCTTCTTCTTTGCCAGTCCTACTGCATTTGTTTCATATCCGCATGTCTCATCGTTTCACTCTCATT